AACCCTGCCTAACCGGATGCAAACTGGCTATTGCTCTGTGTCTCATGGTATGGCCCTTGTTGTTGACAAATTTGCATATGGAAGGAGGAGGCTATTGAACACAGATCATAGTCTAATCTTGCAATCCTTGCTGAGGTCACCAGGGAGTTTAGCCTATGTTGGGACTGCAAGAGTGAGCCTTTTTTTGTTGTTGTTGTTGTTAGTTTCTATCAGACTAATAGCTGCAAGATCCATTTTCATATATTTGCCCCTCCGTACATTCTATTTATATGTATTTGAGAGCTATTTGTTATAAAATCAAATTAAAATACACAACAATTAATTTAGGGCCTGAACCTGCAAACACTTACTACCAGGAGTAGAGCTAGCTACTGTGAGTAGATCTATGCAGTGTGTTTCCTTGACTGTAATGGAAAATAGAAATGAATTATCCTTCTTTACTAAAGCAAATCTTCTCTTGGGATATATTGTGCTTTCATTTGCACCCTTGCAGTTCCAATAGAGTCAGACTTAAAAATTCAGACTTAAACATGAACATGTTTAAGTCAGACTTAAACAGTCAGACATTCCTACAAAGGGCTGGGTGTGTCAATCCCTATTGAAATCAGTGGTAACTCAGAACATCCAACATCTCTGAAGAACCACTCAGAACTTTGCAGAATCAGACTTTCACATCAAGGCAACATTTGATTCTTTTTATGGATTTATTCCTAAAGATTGTGATGAATACAAAAGAAGGCCCTGGTCCTTCAAAGAATTACACACCTTTAGACTCACAGTAGACCTATTGAATATTCATATGCATATAGTTACTTATATGTGCAAGTTTTATAGGATTAAGGCTTTCAGTGATCAGGAGTCACATGTAAAACTATTGAAATAAACTCTCTAAGGCTATGTGTACACTGAGCATCAATTTCGAAACAAGCTATTCCAGAATAGTTATTTCAAAATAGCAGTCTATACTGCAGGGAAGCCTCAAAATTAGTCCAAGGTAGGCTTCCCTAATGTATACCTGCTAGCTTGATTTAATGCCCCAGGAGGCACCGGGGAAGAATAATTTAGAATGGCTCTGGTGAGGGGCTATTTTGAAATAACAGCAGTGGAGCATCTACACAAGCCTTATATCAAAATAGCTATTTTGGAATAGGCATTATTCTTCATAGAATGAGGTTTACAGAATAAGACACCTGTTATTTTGAAATTATTGCAAAATAACAGAATGGTCGCGTAGATGCTCGCATAGTTATTTCAGATTAATGGCCATTATTCTGAAATAACTTTGCTGTGTAGACATACCCTAAATCTTGTTAAAAACGTTTGAAACTAGAACCCTATTCTGCCCACAGTGAAGTCAGTTGGTGTTCTGCCATTGACTTGAGTGGAAGATTTGGGCCCTAAATGATTTAGTTATGTGCACAAGCAACTATGTTCCTACATGAAGTCCTATTGAAGCCAAATGTGCATTCTAAAGGCCAGATTCTGTGAACATCTTATTTTTATTGATGTGTTACTTGGAAGTCAAGCCTAGCTGATTTTTCTGAGTTTGGATGTAAATGTGTATGTCAGAGCCTATGAGTTACTACTGAAACTTTGTTGTCTCTTTCAGAAGGCTGCTGGGAAATGTAAGCCTTTATGCTTTTGAACATTTAAACTACATTTTCCAAATAAATTTGGTGACCACGTCTAATATTTCTCTGAATAGACATTATATTTTGATGGCTATCAAGCATATAACATAGCAATCCCCTAAAGATTTTAGAGGGAAAAAATCAACAATAATAATCAAAATGTTAATTTAGACAATGGCAAAAGAGAACAGGCATTAAAAATGCATCAGCTCCTATCATTAAGGCATTATTCAGCAGAAATTGTTAATGGTAGGAAACAGAAAGTAGCTCTAAGAAACAAAGTATGAAGAGATGTTTTCTAAGCTTCTCTTTCTGGATGAAAGTCCAGTCTTTACTGCACATGATACTCATCCAACTAAATCTCAACTAACATCTTAAATCAGAGGAAGGCTGAGAGTACAAACCTGGCGTTTCAACTGCTATTCTTGCAGCAATTATGAACAGAGGTGTGTTACAGGGCTAATGCTGACTATCATTTAGCAACTGATCTTAGCTTTCTGCGTGACTTTTTACAGTGCAATTTCACGTTATTTCTGCAGCGGCTGAACAGAGGAAACTCCAAGTAAAAAGATACGCTTTCAAGTGGTATTAGAGAACCAAGATGATTACAGTGCTATTATCAAAAGCAATGTTTAAAGAATAACAGATCTGCACATGTCTGTGTTAACAATGAGAGCTACACGTTCTAGTGAAAGGTAAGATTCCTTTGGCGGTTTGAAATAATTAAGCAGAACAGAACTAGGCTTTCAACTGCTATGTAAGAGAGAGAGAGAGAAATTTTCAACCAGCCCCACCTTGCAGGCACAAATTCATTACCTCTAAAATCTTGATTATCAATGTTTAAAATAATCAGAGTAATAACTGAGTATATGGAAGATTCCGGCCTAAAAAAAATCATATTTCCTCAGCACACTTTGCCTTAAAATGGCTTCTAATCTAATTCACTTCGGGATGAAACCTGAGCTCACGTTTACACATGGCTAGCATCAAAATAGCGGGATTATCGCTGCGTTTGAAGAGGGAAGGAAAAAAGTGAGGGGGGGTTATGCCCGGCTCTCCACAGTCCCCTTTTAAAAATGAAAAGAAAACCCTGCGGATGAGTGCGCCTGCGTGTGTCTATCGTCTCTGTGGCTACAGTATGTGGGGTGGGGCGAAGAGTGCGCGTTGGAAGGCGATGGGCATGAAGACCGTGTCTTTAATTGTCCCTCTGAGCACTGCGTTTTAAAGGCTAACCCAACTTCCACCCATAACTCTAGCTGTGCTGATCAGTTATGGCGGCTGGAACAAGTGAACCGAGTGCACCTGTTTTGTCCAAGCTACGTCCCAGCTTTGTTACCTAGCATCAGCCTCTCTGCCACTAGCATTCCAGGGGCGCACAATATCTCGTACTGCAGCCCCTTCCTGCGGTAAAGACCCGCTGCCTCCTTCTGCGTAGCCAGACTGGGATCGCTTGGCCCACATTTGATGTTACACCCAGATCAAACCGTCAACCCCAGCTCTGTGGCTGCGAGACACTCTGGAGGACTCCAGGGCCACAAGCCAGAAACCACAAACTCAGGGGCCGAGTGGCAGGCTGGAATTTTTGAGTGAATAAAGGAAGAGAATGTACGCTACTTATTTTGCTGTCACCTCAAGCACAAATGGTATTGGGAGGCGCGAACTTCACGATTTAGTAGGGGCGCTAGTAGCAAAGAAAGCGCCTCGTAGCAATAGTCACCCTTGGCACACCCGGCTGCAGTAAAGACAGCGCCTTGCTACACGGGAACACGCTACAGAACATTCCAGCTCAGCGCCAGCCCCTGTCTCCAGCGGAACAGCACCTATTACGGGGATACTCCGCGGCCGCAGAACTTGAGCAGTGCGGAATGGCAGCCTATGCGCAGAGGCTATTGTCTGCAGAAAAACAGTTACTCCACAACATACATGAACGCATTGTGATTTAAGATTTTGAGTTCCTCCTTTTCTTTCTATTCGATGTTGGCTGTTTCATATCTTTAAAAAAAAACCCATTAAACTGGAAAAGAGTCCGCGCTATGCTAGTGCTGCACCCTGTGGGGAACTTCCGTGTGAGCGTGGAGGAAGGCTGGAGATGTTGAGTCATTCTAGCTCAGTCCCAACTACAAGGTCCAGAACGCTGGGTGGTTCAGTAAAACTGGCTTTGCTGTGGTTTCCTGTACAATTCCGCCCAGGAATTTTCTGGGATTCCTCTAAGAATACCCTCTATGAGCCCTTCCTGAACGTTTTAGCCTGGCCATAGGATGAATAAACGGACTTTCCTCAACACAGATAGCAGAAGGAGCCAGATGGACGGAGCCCCTGTCTTTCCTGTTATATACAGTATAAGCCACAGCAAAGTTCTGCAGAGCCTACCCTGCTGTCGCCATAAAAAGCTCCTTCCAAAAGGGACCTGCCTCGGATGGACTGCCCCGAGCGTGAGCGACATCCCGCAAAGACAGCCGGAGAATGCGCTGAGAAAGGACTCGGAGCCTGCCCAGGGGGCTAGAGAGACCCTGGCAAGAACAGTGCCAGGCCCGACAGAAAGCTGGGATCAGCGAAGCGGGACAAAAGCTACTAAGATTGTGTCACTATCGCCATTTGAGCTTAACAACCATTCAGAACGTGAAAGCCAACCCCACCCACCCCACCCCAAAAGAGCTGGGAAGGCAAAGTTTTGCCTCTTGCGTCTGCGTGGTATCTTAGCGCTACACGCCCCCCAAGGGCTCTTCTGGCGGTGGGCGGTGGGCGGTGGGCGGTGGACCAGCAAGCGGGCCCACCTGGGGAATACCAGCCGGCTGCAATGCTAAAAGGGGCCATCGGGCTAGGGTTTGATTCGGGGGCGGATTTGCTAGAAAAGTTCGCCCTGCGCGGATCAGGGAAGAGTTCTGAGTAAAACTTGGCACGTAGGTGCGGGTTAGGCGATACGTTTGCTCAATTAAGGGAAGAGCTGCCATGAAGGAAGGAGCAGAAATCAGAACATTCTCTCGGATCGGGAAGATTTAACTCGACAACCCCTCCCCGACCATCTCTCCTTTGCGTGTGTGCAAACGAAAGAAATGGGGCTCTTGGACAGTCGGGGGGGGGGGGGAATTAATGGTGGCCGTCACCGCACGTCGCTTCCTGCTAAATCCGTCCCCATGTAGGCAAGGGATGGGGGCGGGTTGCTTCTTTGCCCAGCTACTGAGCTGCGCTTCCCTGAATCTGCAGAGGGGGGCTGGGGCGAGAAACGCCCCGGCGGAATGCGGGCTGTGCGGTCCCAGTCCTCGCAGCGCTGTGCCGGGCACCGCACCC